CTAAGGTATTATGAGCTTTTCCGTCCTTGGCACAAGGGAATCTTCCTGTGGGACCCCAGCCACAGTGATGACCTGTTACATTGAGGCAGGCAGGACACGTGCACGGCAGCTCCTGTACTGTGGGCTTGGGAGCGTGAGGGAGAGTCAGGGACCTGCCGCTTCATTAAGATGTCAGAGTTCCCCGCCCAGAGGTGCGCTGAGGCATCTCCTCCAAACTGGAAGGTAAATTCTTGCTTTTGCATCCCCTGCTACGACGGAGAACTGGTGCCCGTAGTCACCTGCCCAGGAGGATTCCTAAAGTGGAATGTGGTGAGCAGACAGACAAGAGAGCTGCGGGAAATAGAGATGAAGAGAGGCAGTGATGGGTCTAAGCCCGGTCTAAACCCACTGCCGAAAAGCACAGGTTCACCCCAAAGCAGGGAAATAGTGAAATAGTGTTAGGGGGTTTGGAGGATGGATACAGGCGAGAGGATTGGAAACGGGTTTGTTTTGAAGGATAGTCTTGGAAAAGCATAATTTCTGGGGAAGAAAAGGCAAAGTGAAAAGGAAGGGAAACTTGTCAGTCCCTCAGCCCGTGTGTGCACTGACCTTTGGTTCCAGGCATTCCACCTTGAGGAACCCGTCCTGCAGACACGTCTGGCGATGTGGAAACACACAGCGGTTGTCCCCACACAGCCGTGCATGACGAGCTGCCCAGCCTGTAAGCCAAGCTCGGGCCCTTCCCTCCCTTCCAGCTGGCTGTACGGAAGCCCCGTGTGCCATGGGCACAAGATGAGTGCGGGCTCTGAGACAACTGCTGTGGGTGTCCTGCAGCCTCTCTGTTCACTGGCCATTTACTGAGAAATATGGGAAACCGTCCGAACTGTCCGTATGCAGCAAGGTACCATAGTTGGGTAAATCCGTACTGTGGAATGCCATGCTGCTGTAAAAGAGAACAGAGAAGAGCTTTAGGAAAGGACAGGGAGCGATTTCCAGGATAAATTAAGTAAGCGAGGCAAAGTGTAAAAAGAGTATAATGTCCGTCAAGAGAGAAAATGAGGATTATTCAAGAAAACATACATGAGACTTGTTACCTACAAATGTTTGGGGGGAACAAAGAGGAATGAATGGTCTCCCTGGAAATAGCACAGTAAGAGTGGGATGGACACGGAGCCTAGCACCCCCTGGCCCTCAAATGAGTGCAATTGTATCACAGATGAGCACCGCAGCCACACCAAAGCGGGTGGGAGAGAAAAGCACTAACCGAAGTAACTTTGGAAAACGGTGTTTTTTGCTGGCACCACTGATTGCACAAAGGAAAGACAAAATGAAGTGGTTACAAACCCTGTGCTCCAGCCAGTGCGTTTGGTTTTTACAGTGCCGGGGCTCGCAGCTCTGGACCTTCTTCCCATGCGTCTGAGATTGAGCACGTAAGTAAATGTACTGAGCCTAACGAGAGTCCATTTTCTTACTGTTGGAGGAAAGGCCGGCGGGGGATGGAGGCTGCTAGAACTCTGTGATGTTGGATTCCAGTGGAAGGTTTCAGTATGAACCCACGGTGTTTAACACAGATGGACACGTATCTCCCAGCTTAGTCCACCGAAAGGGCAGGCACTCCAGCTGTAGCGAGCACCCTGAGTGGCTGGGTCAGGGTTTCTAAATAGCACCATCCAATAAAGGGACCAGGAATCTCAGGATGTGGCATGGAAAACACAGGATGGTTCTGAAATGTCTCATGGTGCCATTAAGTAAGTGCTCAAAAAAATGAGAGAGGCACACTGGGAGGTGACGGGAACCAGCCGGAAGGGCCTACGGTGCCCAGCTTCGGTGGGACGGAGCACAGGAGGTCCAGTGCCACTTCCACCAACACACACGCCAGTAATGCCACAGGAGGGGTCAGTGGGTTCCAACGAACAGACAAACAGATGCAGAAGGAAGGGAGTAGGGAATCACTGTGAGGTCGACCCCTCCGCAGTAAGTGTGTAAGCAGAATCACTGGTGGGTGCTTCCCTGCTTGTGTGAAGCTGACATTACTGGTGTCACGACAGTCACTGGCCTTTGTAGTGAAGACAGTGAGGCCATTATCCTTTATAGACTGAAGAATTCTGACTCCAGGTTTACATAATTTACAGGGACTCTTGACTTCCTTCTCAACAATTTCACAAAAGAGAATGTACCAACAGGGACAAGATATTGTTGACTACTCTGCCAAATAGTTTGGAATTTATCTCATTTCCAAAAAT